GTCAAATCTTTAACGGGCCGTTGACGGGCTGAATTGGCTCATCTCGTATGGGCCGTGGGCTTAAATGGACCTGACACAAGTAGGCCTTATATGGGCTGGCCTGCTAATTTTTACTCGGCCGGCCTTTTCACAGGAATGGGCCTCTGTTGGGCCGTGCCACGTGTCGATGTATCATAGGCGTCTTCCGTCCAATGAGTGGATGACATCTGTCCCAATGGTGAGCCGACACGTGTTTCCTCCAGCCAATGATTATTTTACACATGGAAAATCCCCATTGGTCGGGGCTGTTAACGGGTTATCGGATCCAAAACCCGACCCGATAGCTTAACGGCGTTCCGTTACGGTGGATGCCACATGTCGGTCACCCTTGACGAAAGCACTTCTGTGACGCGCAATTTATCGTCATGGAAGTGGACACTTCCGTGATGATAATTTTGGTAATGTCATGGAACACTTCTACGATAGCACAGGTATGACTATCTTAATTCTGTCATAAATTTGTCATGGATGTACATGCATGACAAAAAACGCGACCTACTGTGACAAACACGTATCATCACGGAAGTGTATTTTTTTGTAGTGTGGTTCGACGCGCCACATCATGGGCGTTCGAACGGGCCCAGCCGCACGCCCCCTTCCCCGAGCCTTGTACGTGATTCCGGCGAGGTTCCGTCCGTTGCTGCCGTCCGGGGTGGTTGCCGGAGGCCACCCACGCGGGTCGGCCGCCGGAGGCACCCCGTGGGCCACTGACAAGTGGACCCCGCGGGAATAGTTACTAATCACCCACTAACCCCAGGGCCCCACCTACTAACTAAAACAACTATCCCCCAGGCCACTGACATGTGGGCCCATGGTTATTAAGTCCTAACAGACATTGACAATGGGGCCCACCCCTTAATACTAATTAAACATTATTTATTAAGTTAATTTAATTAGTTAAATAGTTAGATTTTACATGTGTCTCCTTTAGTCTAATTAACTAATTTAGGTTTACATTAACTCTATTTAAACCTATTGTCTATGACAGGTGGGTCTCCCACGTCAGTTTGACCAGTCAGCTGATTGGTTGACTACTAACATCACCCTGACCTCATGCTGATGCATTAATTCATTTTCTGAATTAATTTAATTAATAATAAATTCAAAAAATAGTTAAAACTTTGAAAATTAATATGAAATAATCCGTAACTCAGATGAAAATAATTTATATATGAAAGTTGCTCAGAAAAATATGACGAATCCGAATATGCCTTCCGTTCATCTGTCATGTGCCTTTATCATAGCGAACATGGAACCGTACCCCTCTGTTTCATCTATCCGAAAATGCCTAACACCGGGGATACTTTCTCGGATGTTTTCCCCCTTCGCCGGTATTGTGTAGTACTGAGTTAGAACACCCCTAGCTCTGCATATTTTCATGTCATGCTTAGTGTTGCACTTGCCTACTTTGTATTTATTGTTTCTTCCCCCTCTTCTCTCTGGTAGACCCCGAGATGATGTTGCCCCTGTGATCAACTACGTCACCGACGACCCTTCTTCCTTTTCAGTAGAGCTTCCAGGCAAGCAACCCCCCCTTGATCATTCTGATATCGCCCATTCCATTCTCTCTCATGCTTGCATTAGATTTTGCTACTGTAATTGATTGCTCCTATTCTGATGCATGGCCTGCTTTTGTTACCTACTCTTGTACCTTACCTGCTTATCCTAAAACTACTTAGTATAGACTGGTTAGTGATCCAGTCACCTCACCTTGTCCCAGTTGCCCTGGCTTGATGACCTATGACTCGATCAATGTGATCGATGACTAGAGCCCGAGACATCACTCGCCCCCCTTTAGTTGTACGACTCTGCAGAGCTACTATCAAGTACTGCGGGTGATACCTCATAATGCACTCCTGATGATAACTCTGTAGCGTAGCTAATCAGTCGTGGCCTATCGAGGGTGATTCCTCTTTCACCACTCCCGATGACGTCTCTGTCATGCAACACCTCAAGTTTGAACCTCGAGGGTGATTCCTCTTAAGTTCACCTTGACGATTACATCAAGTGAATTCCATCGAGGGAGATTCCTCGGATTCCCCTTTGGTGTTTTGGACACACGGTTACTTTGACGTTACCACGGAACCATTTAAAAGACGGGTCGGCCCCAAGGGGTGCCCGCGAGTTGATGTGAAGTCGGGTTAGCCTGGAGGGTACCCGTGAGATAATTATGAGGCACGGCCGGGCAGGCAGACCACTCCGGAGTGGGATGGGCTAGCCCTTGCTGCATTTCCTCGAGAAGGGGCGACGAGGTCACATGATCGTGAGTCTCTGCTCGTCTCCGCGAGCTCCCAATACACTAAATGTTTGGGTATCTCATCTGAGTTGGCCACTGGACTATACGCACTAACCGCCACGCGAGAACAGTTATGGGCACTCGGTGTCGTACGTTTCTTCTGAAAGCTTTGTTAGACGTCCAGTTCAGCATTGTGGGCCTATTGAACCAGTGTCATCCGGGATGAGGTGGTGCTCGTCCCGGCTCGTCGCATAATGACTGTGTCCACGGTAACGGACGCTCGGAGTTGTATCCCGATCTATTACAACTAGAAATGGAAACTTGAGACATGAGATGGATATGTTGGCTCCGGGATTGCTTTCTCGCAGGGAGTCATGGAAGGATCTCTAGGCATTATTACTAGAACATGCTTGTTAATTATAAAATGCTATTCTGTACTCTTCTGAATGCTGCAAGACTCTTGAAGATGCTAGTCTTCGATAGGCTAGGCTTTCCCTTCTCTTCTGACATTCTGCAGTTCAGTCCACAGATACAGCTCATTCCTTTGATAATGCATACTTAGTATATATCTGATGCCTGCGAGTACTTTGGACGAGTACTCACGGTTGCTTTGCTACCTCTTTTCCCCTGTACCTGGTTGCTGCGATCGGATGCTGGGTCCCAGGAGTCAGATGCCACCGCTGACGACTTGTACTACCCCGAGGGTGCCTACTACTACGTGGAGGCCGCCGACGACCAGGAGTAGTTAGGAGGTCCCAGACAGGAGGCCTTGCATTTTCGATCGTTGTTGCTTTTGTGCTGGCCTTCTTAAGGCGGTCTTGTTTAACTTATGTGTGTACTCAGATATTGTTGCTTCCGCTGACTCTTGTGCTTTCAAACTTTTGTATTCGAGCCCTCGAGGCCACTGGCTTGTAATATGAAGCTTGTATTATTTTAATCTGTGTCTAGAGTTTTGTTGTGATATCTTCCCGTGAGTCTCTGATCTTAATAGTACACATTTGCGTGTATGATTAGTGTACAATTGAATCGGGGGCGTCACGGGAGTACACAAATTTCACTAACTTTCAGTAAATTGACTAATCATTGACAGGAACAAACAACTCAGGAATGGGGAAGGAGCATACAACGCCGGGGAAGGAGCGGCAGCTTTGGTAGGGAAGGAGCAGCGGCGGCGGCACTCAATCGGGCGCGCAGTCGTATCGCCACCGGGAGTTGTGGATTAGAGAGAGGGAGAGAGAGAGGAGCGGCAACCTGGGACTTGCCCACATCCCGCACCGGAGTGGGTGGCCGGGGCGGGCGCCGAGAAGAGGCTGCGGACACGAGCAGGGCGATGACGAGGAGGCGCGCGTCAGTCATGGAGGAGCCACTCATCGAAGTGGTCGCCTCGGGGTAGCAGAAGCCGTAGGTGGGCGGCGACGCAGCTCGCCTCCATGCAGGCGGTGCACATGGGCAGGGAGGTGAAGATTGCTAGCGGGCCAGCGGCAATGTGCTGACCCTACGACGGCTGCCGCCGGTGGCTGGGGCCGGTTCCTACCACAGGCGACGGGGGAAGGGAGGAAGAAGCAAAGGGGTGATTAGCAGAAGATCTAAAATTATAAGGGTATTTTACAAAAATGCAAATGAACTAAGCCTGAGACAATTTTTTCGGACGGAGAGAGTACTTGCAAAGCTACGAAACACACAAGCAAACCACCTCGATTGATCCACGATAGCTAGCATGACGTGCATGTGTAGCTTTTTCTAACGGCTACAGCCAAACTTTTTTGAGAGTGTAGTTACTTTCTTGTGCGATAATCCACTTCTCAGACCACCCTCAGCTACATCCGCGCTGATGAAAATCAGAACAAATACAAGAAAAATTCAAAATTATCAATTTTTTTGTGTGGTATATAATTTGATGCGCGAGGTCCGCTCTAATTTTCAAATCATCTGAATATTTGAGCAGCTCTCAGCAAAAAAGACAAATTCGGGGTCTATAAAAAAGTTTACTGTTCACGCAATGTTCTGATCCGACTTGTCTTTTTTGCCGAGAGCTATTCAGATGCCTAATGATCTGAAAATTGGAGCGGACCTCATATAATAAATTATCTACCACTCAAAAAACATTTGAATTTTTTGATTCTTTTTGATTTTTTTGTGATTTTTTCTCACCAGGTGCGGATGGGTGTGGCCATCGAAACACTGCACTTCTTTCTTGTGTAGTATATATTATGAGAAAACAAAGAAAACAAATGGAGGGGGCACAAATAGGTAATGAAGTCAACTTAGATGGCACATCACACCCTTTAGATAATACAGTATATAGAAGAGACAAGTATATCAGAGATCGCGTGCACTCGTAAAATATACGAAGATGATAGCTACCCCTGAGCAGTAAAATACGCACCACGCATTACAACTACTCTTACGACTTCTTCAATGATTGGTCGAATATGCTAACCCAACCAATTATTGAAACCCTTCCAACCAAAATATACTTTTCTTGAGATGATTGATCTGTCCGCAGATCAACATAAACTAAAAAATATTAAATTTCTAATTTCTGTAAACAAAATACTCCCCCTCTTATATTTGTTTAGGGAGGGAGTACAAGCAAGTGAGCATCCATCCAACGATACGCTACTGTACTAAAGCCAACACCTTCATTGTCATTTGTCAAGTAAGCAAAGCAGCCAGGTCGGACCCAATCAAACCCAAAGAAAGCAAGAACTTTCCCCGGCCGTCCATGGCCACCTACCCCCTCCTCCTCCTCTTCGCCGCCGTCGCCGTAGCCGTAGCGGCGGCGTCGTCCGCGGGGGACAAGCCAACGGCGTACGAGATGCTGGAGCGGTACGACTTCCCGCGGGGCATCCTGCCGGAGGGGGTGGAGGGGTACGAGCTCGATCCGGACGGCGGCTTCCAGGTGTACTTCCCGCGGGAGTGCGAGTTCCTGCTAGCGAAGCAGTGGCTGGTCAAGTACGACACGCGCATCGCCGGCGCCGCCAGCGCGGGCAAGCTCGCGGCGCTGCAGGGCATCTACGTCAAGGTACTCTTCCTGTGGATCCCCGTCGCCGAGGTCGACCGCGCCGGCGACCGCCTCAGCTTCTACATCGGCCCCGTCTCCACGTCCTTCCCGCTAAGCGACTTCGCCAGCAGCGCGCACTGTCGCGGCTACCACGACCGCGCCGCCGTCGCTGCGGCCGTCTCGTGAATCATATGCTTTTTACATGTACTCCTACTTAGCTACTGCTGCTGGGGGGAAATAGTATATTTCACATGGAAAACTCTATTGATACGGCCTGATTATTTGAACAAGACGCACAAGAGTCATTGTTTCAATTAACCTTCTGTGCCGTGGTGGTTCGTGGATATCACAATGAGCTCTATACGATTCCAGTTTAGCTTGAGAGCCAATGTTGGCGTTTCGCAGGAGCCAGCGTTTATCTAGAATTTTCTTGAGATGTACTGGTATGTATTTATAGATCACAGATTAGTTTATGGTAATTGTCCGGAGACATAATATGTTCCCACTATGACCAGCGTTTGAAGTAAGTTATCATCGCATAGCATTTCCCAAGACAAAATGAGTCAAAAATTCGAGAAAAAAGAAACAAAATGAGTCTACAAGTTAATAAATATAACCACATATGACACTATATCTATGAGTTTTTTTTTCTTGAATACGCACGAATGTGCGTATCTTATATTATAGAAGAAAGGGGGAGAGAACCCTCCGCGGTTTCGTTACACGAAAGATTACAAGGCGCTACGCCACCATCCACCTCGTATGGCCTAACCAGACTACTGGCGGCGAGCCCACTCGAGTGCCTCTACGAAGAACGCATCCAACTCTCCTCTTAGCAGTCCCGCCTGCCTCCATACCTTGCTCTCGCTCGCAATCCGGTGTAGAATCTGCTGAAGGCTGACTGTCGAACGATGGCATTCTGGTGCTTCCAAAGCTCCCACATGACTAGAAGGCACAGGGCCTGCATCGTCCTCGTCCGCCGCTCGTGGGTATCCTGCCGGGCACACCAATCTGGCAGAGGCTCTCCAACACGCGAGGCGCCGTGTGCAACGCCCATGGTCGTGAACACCTTGGCCCATACTCCCCTCGCCAAAACTCACTCAATGAGCAGGTGGCTAATCGTCTCCTCGTGTTGATCGCAGAAAGGGCAAGCGTCTTGGTGCGGTAGTCCTCTCCGTGCTTACCGGTCCGATGACCAGCAGCGGTTCATGATCGCAAGCCATGCGAAGAAGCGGCACCTGAGCGGGGTATGGGAGCGCCACGTGAATGTCGCGGTCGGTGACACCTCTCGAGTTGCAAACTTGACCGCGTAAGCCGACTTGGCCAAGAAAGCGTCGTCCTTCTCCCAGGACCAGGCGATGCGGGTCGGCGTGCTGGTCGTCTAGCTGAACCGTCGTGATTGTGGGCCAGATGTGTAGGTATTCTGCAGCTTCCTCCCCGCTCAGCGATGGCCCGACATTAGTGGCCCATCTCCCCTCGTTGATGGCCTCGAACACCATCCTTACCTCCGCACTTGCGCCGGGACACGCCCATTGTCGGTATCAAAACCGGCCGATCTCGGGTAGGGGGTTCCGAACTGTGTGTCTGAGGATCAAAGGTAACAAGCGATCCCAGACGATGTTACCCATGTTCGGGCCCTCTTAATGGTGGTAAAACCCTACATCCTGCTTGATTGTCTGTGATGAGTATAGGGGTTACAAGAGTTGATCTACCTCGAGATTGTAATGGCTAAACCCTAGCTGTCTAGCCTATGCGAATTCTGATAGCCTCTACGGACTAAACCCTCTGGTTTATATACACACCGGAGGGGCCTAGGGTTGTACAGAGTCGGTTTGTAGAGGAAGGAAATTACATATCCGGACATCAATCTTGCCGTCCACGCACAGGAGAGTCCTACCCGAACACGGGGGAAGGTCTTCGGCCTTGTATCTTCACGGCCCATCAGTCCGCCCCATATCAAATAGCCCGGACACCCGAGGACCCCTTAGTCCAGGACTCCCTCAGTAGCCCCTGAACCAGTCTTCAATGACGATATGTTCGGCACGCGGATTGTCTTCGGCATTGCAAGGCAGGTTCCTCCTCCTGAATGCTCCAAAGTAATTTTCTGAATAAAAGAACTGTATCCGGCTCTGTATACCTATTACAACCCTTAGCCATGAAGGTAAGATATCAAACAAAACGGTGTCTTTCCACTGATAGCTTTTTTCGGCGAAACATCACATCTGGCCTCTTAACATTTCGAACCATTTTCTCGCCTCTCACTTCGCATTTCGAGGCACAGCCTCCATTGGCACGTCTTGTCAAAATAGAGATCGTGTCCGCCCTTTATGGGATCCTCATCAATACGGTTTTGGGTAATCCAACCGTGCCATTCGCACGACCCCTTGGGAACAGGCGAGTTTTAAGGCTTAAAGGGGGGAGGGCGTTTGATATTCACTTCCTATATAAGAGGATAAAGATTCCTCCTTTTCCCCATGCCTTCTTCCTTCTCCTGCTTTCCCATCTTCGAGCTCCAACGCCCAAGCTTCAACCTTTCTCACCGCCACCAGCCTCCCCAGCCATGTCAGGATCTGGTTCAAAGGGCGAGTGGGAAGCCTCCTCCGTCACCGAGAAGGACGTCAAGGAGCTCCGAGGGGTGGGATATCTGTCCGCGGACATCGCGCACAGGCTCCCTGCCAAGGATCAAGTCATTCCCACTCCGGAGCCCAGCGAAAGGGTTGTATTCATCCCCCACTTCCTCCGTGGGCTAGGGTTTCCCCTCCACCCCTTTGTCCGGGGCCTTATGTTCTACTACGGGCTAGATTTCCATGATTTGGCCCCAAATTCTTTCCTCCACATCTCGGCATTCATCGTCGTGTGCGAGGCACTGCTCCGCACCCCCCCCACACACACACACTTCGGCCTATGGCTCAAGGTCTTCAATCTGAAGCCGAAGGTGGTCGACGGGCAGCATGCGGACTGCGGCGGCGCCATGGTGAGCAAGCTTCCCAACACCGTTTGGCCTAAGGGGGCCTTCATGGAGACTGTCAAGGTGTGGCAGCAGTAGTGGTTCTATATCACCGAATCCTGCGACACTAAGTGGGCGGCCACTCCTGAGTTCAGATCCGGACCCCCTATGCGGCTCACCTCATGGACCGCTAAGGGTCTGGACTCGGGATCCACGGCGGAAGTGTTGATGCTGCAAAAGCACATCACAAACATGATAGGCAAGAACACCAGTCTCACTAATGTGATTCAGGTGATCCTCTTCCGTAGGATTCTTCCCTGCCAACTCCGGCCCTCTCACATGTGGGACTTCAATCCGGAAGATCAGCGAACCCTAAAGCACTTCTTCGGCACAAGCACGAAGACATCTGGAAGCTGTTGCTCAAGGCCCAAAAAGCATGGCCAAAGAAGACCGAAGACATCGGTCTCGACAGCGAGAATCCGGCCACACCGGTAAGTATGACTCTCCCGAATACATATCCGGTCAATGAGTTTCTTAGACATAATGAATTTTCTGTTCCTCGTACAGGGCTGAATAGCAAAGGTGGAGTGGATTAAGTGTCCGGCACCGCTGCCTGAGGACCCGACCACACCCCAGCTGACAAAGATGCTGGTCCCGGTGCCCTATCAGGCACCGGAGAAGAAGGCCAAGAAGAAGAGCCAGGAGGCCAGAGGCGGCCTCCGCCACAAGGGTACTTCGGATGTAGTGTCCGGAGAGACTGAAATCCCCTCCTCCCATGAGGGAGATGAAGACGGAGAGGAGGAGGAGGCGGAAAGCGAATCCCCTCTTACGGGAAGGAAGAAGAAGAGGACGACCTCCATAGACCCGGAGGAGCAGGCGCCTAAGAGGGGGAAGATGGCCCTCTCGGATGGTTCGGATTCGGAGGCTGAACCCATCCCCAGGAGGCTTCTCAGGGTGAAGCCCTTGGCCAAATCGTAAGTATCAAAGGATTTATTATATGTCTTCTGTTCTCTATGCTTGTATAATATAACATATTACATTGTGTGACCTTCAACCCTACTCGCGACCTCCCCAACCCTTCACTATCTAAGGGGAGTTCTCTCCCACTAGAGATGGCAGAGAGCGAGACGCCCCCGCGAGCTCTTTCGTCAACCATCATGGATGACACCGAGGTGTTGTCCCGAAGGACCTCTCCTGGCCGCGGAGGGGCGAGCAAGGCTGCCGAGAAGGCGCCCGAGGGTGATACCTCGGCTACCGAAGACACGGGGGGTGCGACCCCCATGACGACCGACGGCGGGGGCCCTGATCAATCCGGCCCCCAGTCGAACATCATTCCGGAGACCCAAGTGGCTCCGAAATCAGGCGAGCAGGCCCCTTTGAAGGAGGGGGGATCATCAGCTCCGACGGCGACCTCCACTAATCCGGAGGCGCCGAATACTCTGGTGTAAGCACTACGACATGCTTCCATCATGGAGGAGCACCGCACCCTGATGGGTGTGGCTGTAGAGAAGGTTCAGTCTGCCAAGAGCGGGCTGAACGAAGCCTTCACCAGCATACTGACAGGCATCGAGGTATGCGACGTAATGCTCTATACGCTTTTTTTATATTAGGGAAATATACCTGTATATAGATAGTAGCCCCTGAGACTCTGTCTGGTTTAAAAAAGCTGGACAGGGGATCACATAGTATTCGGAAGAGGTGACGTACTTTTCTATTCTATAACAGGCTTCCCTGTTGGCGGCGACAGCCCAGGCCACCGAAGTCCGAGCTTAATCGGAAACTAAAGTTGGCCGATGACGAAATCGACCATATTAACAAGCGGTTTGATGAGACGCAAGGTATGCATGTACTTTAAGGAGTTTTATCATATATCCGAACTGATATGCAAATTTAAAGTTTAACTCATGTACTACTGTGACTATGAGTGCAGTTGGAGCGCCCGAGGTCGAGACCCTCAAGAGCAACCTTGCCCAAGCCAAGGAGGAGGCAAAGGCGAATAAAGCAGCCGCTGACAAAGCGGCTGTGGAATTAAAGACCGAACAGCTCGCCCGCCGCTAGCACGAAGAAAGGGTGGCCGAAGTGGAGCAAGAGCTGAAGGACGCCATCGGCAAGTGCGAGGCCTTGAAGGAGAAGACTACGGCTCAAGCGGGCGAACTCGCCAAGGCCCTCCAGGAAGCAAAAGAGGTGTGGACCGAGTCCCGAGGTGCTCGTGAAGAGATCCGGCAGGCCGAACAGATAG